GGGTCCCGGCCCCAGGCCCCTGCCCGATGCGGGGCTGCGGGCGGGCGGGCTGGGCGGCGCGTCCGGCGACTCGCACAGGAAAGCGGACGGCGAAGGGAGGGAGCTTGGGAGAGGGGGATGGGAGAAGGGAGGAAGAGGGAGAAGGAGGGAGCGCGGAGGAACGGAGGAGAGAGGGGCCGGGAGGGAGCCGCGAGGGAGGGAGCGCGAGGCGAGCGGCGAGGGGGGAGGGGATCCGGAGAGGGGGAGGCGCCGCGCGAGCTGGCCGAGACCGAGGCCGAGGGGCCCGGGGCGCGGGGAGGGGTGCGCCGAGGCGGAATGCGGGGAGCCCGCGGGCCTGGCGCTGAAGAGGGCTAGGTGGGGGAGGGGGCGCGGGCCATTATGGGGGAGGCTGGAGAAGTTTGGGGGGGCCTGGGGGTGTGTGGCGGAGGTGAGGGGGGAGGCTGTGGGTGTGTAGCAAAGCCGCGGGGATGGGGTGAGGTTGGAGGGATGGAGCTTCTTGGGGGCAATGAGATGTGACCAGGGGAAAGAAGCTTGGGGTGACGGCGTCTGTGGCAGACACTTACGGAAGAGGTTTGTTGGGGGTGGTGCAGTTGTGAGAGAATGGGATGAAGTTTGGGGTCCTAAAGAGGGGAAGAAATTGACAAGATGGAGACATATTCGGGAGAATGGGTTTCTGGAAGAGTGAAGCGTCTGGGGGTGATGGGTGTTGGGGAAAGAACAGAGAACATAAGAATTTGGGGGAGTGACATGTCTAGCGATGTCCTGTGGAGAAAGAAGGAAAACTAGAGGAGCCTTAATAAAGGATGAAGGAGGTGGGGCTAGATGCAGATTCCAAGGGAGACTGGGTTCTGGGTGGGAAACGAAGGTGGGAAACTGGGATGGCTGGATTGGGGGTTGGGGGGGCGGGTTCTGAAAGAGCTGAGGAGAGTTTTTTGGGCAAGACAAGGGAGATAGAAGGGGGGAGGGAGTAAAGACGGTTAGGAGGAAATGTAAGAGCAGTCTAGGCCTTTGGTGGCCCTGAGAGGAAAAGTCCGTGGGGTGGACAAGCTGGTGGACACGGGAGGGGAAAGCAGGAGAAGGCAACGATAGGAATGAGAAGGACAGGCCGGCAGAGGGAAGACGTTCATTTATGGAAGTGGGACACCCTCCCCAGGCCCTCTGGCTGGCGGTAGCTCCATTTTCCATCTCAAATCTGTCCGAAGTCATCACTCATGGTACTTGTTGGGCGGGGGGGGGGGGGGGTGCGGGGGAGGTCGGATGGGGACTAGGCTCCATGTGGAGACAACCTCAAGTGCCCCGATTATTCTAATGTGGAGACCATTCCACCACAGACTCTCTCCAGGCAGCCTCTGCCCCTGACAGCCCCCAGCCACTCCCAGTCTTCAGCCAGGAGGCCAGCACCCCCAGTCCACCTCCCAGTCCACCCCCACCCCCGCCCAGGGTCTCCTGGGCTCTCTCCCTGCCCCACGCCAAGCAGCAACATCTCTCAGGACAAAGGACACCAAGACGCTGGGTGATTTTTGGCAGCAGAGATTGGGAAGGCCAGAGAATGGGAGGGAGGCAGGCTGGGAACCGGGAAGAGCTGGAGCTGGAGTCGGGATTGGGAGCCCTCGCTAGCACTCCAGATTTGGGGTGGGGATGGGGTAGTTGTGCCAGAGGCCAGCTTGAGGCTGAGGGTGGGCCCTGAAGGTGGGATCCCCACCACCACCACCCAGCCTCCAGAGAAGGAAGGAGACTGGTTATGGAGCAACTGGTAGATTTTTCCTCCTATTTCCCCAGGCCCAGCTCAGCCAAGCTCTAGGAATACCCAGAAGTGCTAAATGGATTCCGTGCACCGGGAGCCTGAGCAGGAAGCCTTCCCTGGCCTAGGAATGAATTCCCACTCTTCAGACTCTTGAATCAGCTGGCACTCACTCTGTTACCCCAGGCCCACCTTATCCCTCAGGGTTTTCCAGACAACTCCACCCCACCCACCCGCTGCCCACTGCCTCTAAGAGGACCCCAGCTCCTTCTCCCCACCCCCAACTTTGCTCCAAGACTCCTCCTCTCCCCGAGGTCCCCCCTCCCCATTGCATTTCCTCTCTCTCTGCACTGCCCAGCTCAGTCCCCCACTGGGCCCTGGCCCAGGCTCTTCCCAACTCCCTTCCAGGCTAAGCCCTTCTGCCTCCTTTTTTAACCACTAAGGGATCGGCTAGGATGGTGACATGTTGTTGTTGCGTCCCTAAGTCGTGTCTGACTCTGCGACACCATGGACTGTAGCCCTCCAGGTTCCTCTGTCCGTGGGATTCTCCAGGCAAGAATACTGGAGTGGGTTGCCATTTCCTTCTCCAGGGGATATTCCCAACCCAGGGATGGAACCCGTGTCTCCTGCATTGCAGGCAGATTCTTTACCACTGACCTGGATGGTGATATATCTGAGCCTAAAAGAAGAGTGAAAAGAGAAGCCAGGGCCTCTCCCCTCCAGATCCTCCCCAACCTGAGGACAGGATTCAGTTCAGCTTCAGGGAGCATCACACACACCCCATCATCATTGGTCACCCCAGCTCCCCACAACCCACCCGTTTCCAGGCAACGGCACATAAGAAAAGTGGAAAGAGGGGCCTGGGAGGCCCAGGGAGGGGGAGATGTAACTCAATCCACCCCAGTACCTGAGGGTTCTTTTTTTGCGGGGGTGCATGACAAAGTGACCCATCGAGGAAAGAGGTCAGAGGTTGGGAAACATGGCTCCGGCCAGGAGTCAGCCTAGGAGTTACTGAAGAAAGGTGCATATAATGGACCCCAGAGTAAAGCGCGGGGTGCCCCAAAGGAAACAAAAAGGGGCGCCAGGGGACACGGGAACAGGGAAAGCTGAGATGCCCGCGCTGGAACGAAGAGGCACAGAGGTTGGGGCGAGAAACCCTTTGACTGAAAAGGGCTAAGTTGTCAGCGATACGGGAAAGAAAACAGAGAAACGGGTCTTGCCCATACAGAGCCGGAATCCTCTTCCAGTCCTGGAGCTGGGCAGAATGGCAGAGGGGGCCCAGTACCAGAACTCAGAGTAGAAGCTGAGCAGGAGGCCCACAGAGGGAGCAGCCTTGCGGTTCCTCCCACCCTCGCTCTGACGCCGGTGCCGTCGGCCTCCTGCAGAGCCTTGGCTCCCTCTAGTGGCCGCAGCTACCCACCACTCGGCCCAGGTAGCCGAGCCCTAGACGGTGGCTCAGTGGTAAAAAAACAAAAAAACAAAAATCAGCCTGCCAATGCAGGAGGTGTGGGTTCAATCCCTGGGTTGGGAAGATCCCCTGGAGGAGGGCATGGCAACCCATTCCAGTATTCTTACCTGCAAAATCCCATGGACAGAGGAGCCTGGCAGGCTACAGTCCATGGGGTTACTGAATCAGACACCACTTAGGCACCAAACAAGAAAGAGGGGGCTCATCCTCCCCCTGCCCCCAGGTAGTTCCTGCGTTCCTGTCTCAGTTCTGGGGCTCTGCTGGAGCCCAAGTGTGATAGTGGGTCTCCAGTCACACACTGGCCCCCTGCTCGCAGGCTCACCCAGCCAGGGGCCTGTTGATCACCTCAGGTCCTGAATTTCCAGTTTACTGGAAGTTACATGTCCTCAGGCCTCTGCAGCTTGCAGGGGGCGCTGCCCAGACAGTGCTGGCCCATCCCAGGAGCTCCAGGACTCAATCTGGGAGAGGACCTGTACACCGGAGCAGCTCCAGTCTCAGGGGAGAGGCAGGCCAACAAGCTCCCCACCTGGCCAGGGAAGTATAGGCAGTGCCATCCTCCTGACCTTATTTGTTGGATTGCTTCCTCTTTCTGTGCCCTCCCCAGCTTTTTTTTTTCTTTTTTTTAAATTGGCTGTGCTGAGTCTTCATTGCTGCTCGGGCTTTTGGGGGGGCTACTCTCCACTTGTGGTGTGTGGGCTTCCCTTGTTGCGGAGCACAGGCTCTAGGGAGGCGTGCGAGCTTCAATAGTTTCCGTTCCCGGGTTCTAGAGCACAGGCTCAGTAGTTGTGGTACACTGGGCTTAGTTGCTCTGTGGCATGTGGCATCTTCCTGGATCAAGGATCAAACCCGTGTCTCCTTCACTGGCAGGTGGATTCTTTACTACTGAGCCACCAGGGAAGCCCACCTGTCAGCTTTGCTATCCAGTTTTCCCCACTTCTAGGAGCTCCATCTTCTCTCCCTGCATGTGGACTAGAGTAAGACTCCTCAGACACAGGAATGCACGGTGACTCAGACTTTAATGGAAGTGTTCATTTCAGCGCCACAGAGGTGCTGGCAGCTGTGAAACATGGCACGGGTGCAGCTGGAGGAAGAACAGGGAAGCTAGGGCTGGGGGGAGGGGGACAGGGGACAAGTCCCCAGGTGCACAGCCCCACCTCTGGCCCAGGAGCCGTCACTGAGGCCCCTTTCTGCTACCCTTCCAGTTCCAGCAGGACCCCCACCCCAGGCCATCTCAGAACCTACAGTCACGTGAAATAGACACATGGTCCCCACTCCAGTCAGGCCAGTTTTCAGGCCCTGGAGTAATGGTGAAGTGATTCATTAACAAGATGAATGAAAAATAAATGAATAAATAATACAGTGGAGCCTTAGACCAGGCCTGAGCAGGCAGCCAGCCCTCCCCAGTACTCACACTCAGCACTGCCCAGTTCCTGCTTCATATGCAGCCTGGAAACACGTGGACTCAGCGCAAAGCACACACGACACATGGCCCCTCTACCACCTCGACAACTAACCCAGACGCTCCACACGGACCCCAATGGGTCTTCTGCGGATGCCCTTACGGTCCTCAGTCCATAGCCAGTTTTCAAGGACAGAGAAGAGGAAGGAGGGAGGAGCGGAGAGCGCGGAACCCAGAGGGTGGGAGCGCAGAGACGGCAAGGCTAGACCAGCCAAGGTGCAGCGCGGAGGGTGAGCCGGTGTCAGGGTGGAAATTTCGAGCAGGACCGAAAAGAAGAGGATCCAGGAAGAGGACGGAGTGAGGGGGTTCCAGGTCTCCAGGCAGGGAGGAGCTCACAGCACACTGGGGTTGCGGAAGTTATGTCCCGCGAAGCGAGCTTCGTCCCCTAGTTCTTCTTCGATTCTGAGAGAGACGAGTCAGAAAGGAAACAGCCAAGCAGAAGGACCCTGCTTCTCTTCCCAGGAGCTCCCCCGCTACATCCTCCAAGCCCCTTGCACCACCTGCTCCTGGGGCCTGGCCTGAGTGAGGGCATTCCCTGGCTTTCCATGACTCATCAATCAGGCCATCTGTAAACCCATCATTCAAAACCAAATACTTTCTGGATATATACTGTCCTCCAGGCCCTGGGCACTGGAGACAAAACGGTGGACAAACATAGCTTGTAACCCTTGGAACCCTGGGTTTCCATTCCCTGGGCTCCCTTACCTCATGAGCTGGTTGTACTTAGCCAGACGCTCAGAACGGCACGGGGCACCAGTCTTGATCTGAAATATCCCAAAAGATAAACAGCTCAGTGGCCACCCCTTCACCCCATGAAGGAGAACTTACACTCCCTCGAAATTGCCATGATGCCCGCAAACACCTGGAAGGAGAGCGACCTGAGCCTAGAACCCCCCAATTGCACAAAGGGCTCCCTAGCGCTCACCTGGCCTGTGCACAGCCCCACCACCAGGTCAGCGATGAACGTGTCCTCAGTCTCTCCGGAGCGGTGACTCACCATGACCCCCCAGCCGTTCTCCTGGGCCAGCTTGCACCTGCATTCGGTGCAACAGCAGTGAAGCCCAGCCCACACGCTCTCCCCAGCCCTGACATTGATCAAGAAACACCTGGAGGGAAGCTGTCCAGGAGGGGAAAAGAGAATTGGGGGGCATGGAGGGAGGAGAACCAGGAGAGCCATGAAGGTGACTCGGGGCTCCCTGCCTCCTTCTGCACTTGTGGGCAAGGCTGGGCTGGGGCGCTGGCAGGAGGCATCCTGCAGAAACGGGTTGAGTGGGGGAGGGCCCAGAGGCACTCACGCTTGAATGGCTTCAGTGACTGAACCGATCTGGTTGACCTTCAGCAGCAGACAGTTGCAGGCCTTCTCCTCCACCGCCCGCTCGATTCGCTTGGGGTTGGTCACTGTCAGGTCATCACCCACAATCTGGATCCCCACGTTGGCTGTGAACTTGGACCAGGCGGCCCAATCGTCCTGGTCAAAGGGGTCCTCAATGGAGACCACTGTTGGGAGAATGGTGAGGGGGCTCTGCGTCAGGCAAGAACACCCGGCTTTGAGTCCTTGCATGGACAGATCAGATCCCCTGGCCAACTCAGCCTCCTCCCCTCTGAAATAAGCCTCCCTTGACCCATTCTTTTTATTTAATATTTTTTATAATTAAATTTATTTACTTTTAATTGAAGGATAGCTCAAACAATGAAGAATCTGCTTGCAATGCAGAAGACCCAGGCTCCATCCCTGGGTCGGGAAGATCCCCTGGAGAAGGAAATGGCACCCACTCCAGTATTCTTGCTGGAGAATTACATGGACAGAGGAGCCTGGCGGGCTGTAGTTCATGGGGTCACAAAGAGTTTGACACGACTGAAGGACTAATATACACTGCTCTACAATATTGTATTGGTTTCTGCCAAGCATCAACATGAATCAGCCATAGGTATACCTGTGTCCCCTCCCTCTTGAACCTCCCTCCCACCTTCCTCCCCATCCCACCCCTTAATATTTCATTTATATTTATTTTTTATTTATTTGGCTGCGCTAGGTCTTGGTTGGGCCCCCTGCATTGGGAGCACCTCGTCTTAGCCACTGGATCACTAGGGAAGTTCCCCCTGACTCATTCTTATCTTGATTTTTTCACAAAACCTTTCAAAGAAAACAAGGGTTCAGAAACTTTCTCAAAACCTTTCTTTGCCTTTTCCTATTTTCTATCAGGAACTCCTTCTCATGGCTATTTGAAACCTTTCATTCTGCAGTTTATGCCTATTTTCTCTTGCTGTGTCTCAGGAAATGGAAACCAACTGCTTCCATTCCAGGGATAAGAGTGACTGGGAGGCCTGGGGAAGGTACTTCAGCTCTTCCTCACCCATACAACAGCCCAGTCCCGTTCAGCATCAGTTTTGTTTTCTTTCTTTCTTTTTTTTGCTGAGCTGGTGACTTGTGGGATCTTAGTTCAACCAGGGGTTGAACCCGTGCCCTCGGTAGTGAAAGCACAGAGCCCTAACCACTGGACCACCAGGGAATTCCCCAGCATCCGGTTTATCAACTGAACAACCTGAACTGCGCTTGTTCCAGTCTCACCCTCTCACTGCGCCTCTGCTGTGCTGTGTTTAGTTGCTCAGTCGTATCCGACTCTTTGTGACCCCATGGACTGCAGCCCCCTAGGTTCCTCTGTCCCTGGAATTCTCCATGCAAGAATACTGGGGTGGGTGGCCACGTTCTCCTCCGGGGATCTTCCCAATCCAGGGATCAGACCCAGGTCTCCCACATTGCAGGCAGATTCTTTACCGACTGAGCCACCAGGGAAGCCTTACTGTGTGCCCCGGTCCTTCCAAACCCGCCCCATGACCCCAGCAGCTTCAGAGACTGTGACTTTAATCAGGATCCAAAGCAGATGGAACAGATTCATCATGGGCCCATTCACAGGACACCCAAAGCCCAGCCTCTGCAGGAGACCCCTTCACCCCATCCCTGGTTCTCAGGCGCTTCTCAGGACATCTCTACCTAGCACCTGGGTCAGCATTCACCAGGTCCAGAGTTGCCCCCAACACACCCCTGCCTGCCCCCTGCCCTCCCCCGGCCACAGCCCTTGCTCTCACCAGGATAGTCCCTGACAAAGTCCTGGTAGAGGGCCCCCAGCTGGTCCCCGGTGATGTATCGGGAAGGATCAGCGGGAGACTTGAAATCCAAGTCATATTTGCCATCGCGGTAAAACTCCGAGGCGGCAACATCCATGCCAATGACGATCTTCTCTGTGTAGCCAGCCTTGTCAATGGCTTCCTTCACCAGTTCCAAGGCTGGGGATGGAATACAGCGAGGTCATCAGCAGGAAGGGTGGTCAAGGAGGAATGAGAGGAAGAAAGAAATTCAGAGCAGAGGTGGTGGGCTGTTGCTGGGGAGAGTTCTGCTTAAGGTTGTTTTAGGATTATTCCCAGGACTGCGATGAGCAGGCCACCTTCGAGGAAGGCAGGGGAATGGAATTCTGTTAATAACAGCTTGTTGTTTTCATTTATTGAGGGCTATGTCACCTCAGCACTTTACACCTATGATCTAACTTAATCCTCACAATGATGCTAAGAGGTAGACACTGTTGTTATTCTTGTTTTACAGATAAGAAAGACAAGCACAGAGACTGTTCAGTGAGCAAGATCACCAGCCAGTAACTCTTCAAGTCAAAGTTCACATCCAGGCAATTTGGCCCCCAAAAGTTAACTCTCAGCCACTACCTGCCTGTATAGTTTCTCTTCACACTAAGGTTTCTGCCAGGGCAGGGAAAAAAATTAGGGGTCCTAGAGGCCTAAGAGGTTGGGGTGGAGATGGGATAGATTTGGAGTTCGGGGTATCTCATCAAACTAGAATCCATGGTGAGAATGGATCCCACGGGTCACCTGGACCACCTCCCCAAATCCTTTAGGGCTCCGTGGGAACTTACAGATACTGACTCATCTGGCTGGGCAGGTAAGGGTGGTCCTCTTAGGCCTGCACATGAATTTTGTGAGGCCCTCTGGTACCCACTCCGAGGACTGGGACCTCGTAGCTCAAGGACCCTCACGCAGCCTCCTGGGGACCCAGTGAAGCATGTGGCCCTTCCTGATGTCCCGGAATGGAGCAAGACGGAGCTGGAAGTAGGGTCTTGGTCTCACCCTCACTGTTCTCCAGGATGTTGGGAGCAAAGCCACCTTCATCCCCCACGTTGGTGGCATCCTTGCCGTATTTGTCCTTGATGACGCCCTTGAGTGTGTGGTAGACCTCTGCCCCAAGTCGCATGGCATCCCGGAAGCTCTCAGCCCCCACTGGGAGGATCATGAACTCCTGCATGGCCAGCTTGTTCCCAGCGTGAGAGCCACCGTTGATCACATTGAAGGCCTGGGAGCCACGGGAGGACAGAAAAAGTCACAGAGCTCTTCCCTCTCCACCCCCAGGAGTACCAACCAAGAGCCCAAACTTCCCCCAGCTTCCGGACTCAGAACCCTCCACCCCATGGTCCCTGTCCTCTCCCTAGAGCTGCCCCAATCACTCTCCTCCCATCAGTCCTCCCAAGGCTTCATGCTTCCTCCCCACCCACCCTGGAAGAGGCACAGTGCTCACCGGGACAGGCAGGATGAGGTCTGAGTTCCCGGCCAGCTGGGCAATGTGTCGGTAAAGGGGCAGTTCCTGCTCGGCAGCCCCTGCCTTACACACGGCCAGGGACACACCCAGGATGGCATTGGCCCCAAACTTGGCTGGGAGATTATAGAGGAAGGCACAGATCAAACATGTCCTCTTCCCCTTCCAGCCTGCACCTATTTTTTTTTTTAATAGCTAGCATTTATTGAAGGCTAACGATGTCACCTAAGCACTTTACACGTGTGATCTCATAAATACTCCCTGAAGGAGACATAAAAGAGACCCCCCCCAATCCAGCAACACCTCATCCATCCTATCCTGCAAATAGCAGGGGGCGGGGTGTGATCAGAAAGGGCAGCGAGCTTCACTTCTTGCAAACATCCCTGAGACCACAGACTCTCTGCCACCAACTCCCCCCTCCTTATGCTGCAGAGTTCTCCCTTCTGTCTCATGTCACTCCCTCCCACTGGAGGAGGCTACGAGAAGGGCTAGTCCTCGGCTGTCCGTCTTTCCTTCATTTCTCAGTCTGTTCCAGGTGCCCCCCGTCCCCGGTCCCCCACACGCCCACTCTCTCCCAGCCCCTGCTTACACTTGTTCTCAGTCCCATCCAAGTCCAACATCAGGTTGTCCAGCTTCTCTTGCTCCACCACAGACACACCCTGTGAGCAGAGGCCCCGTCACCGGGAGCCGGGATGGAGGCTAGACCTTAAGGCACCTAAGACAGGCACCCCTCCCCCATCCACACACAGGCTCACGTCCACCAGGATTCCCCCAGGTTCCTCTGATAGCGGCCTGTCGGGATTAGGGGACTCAGCCCCCATGAGAGCGGGGCCCCCTTCCCTCAGTAACCATGACTCCCCAGAGGTGGCCCTTTCTCCCTCTTCTTCCCCCTCCCCTAATCCAGGGCTCCCTCCAGGACCCTGTCCCCACCCCCAGCAAAGAGTGAGCCTCACTGAGCTGATGAGGGCCGGGGCAATGGTGGTGTTGATGTGTTCCACGGCCTTCAGGACACCTGGGGAGAGGCGGAGAGGTCAGGCCAGGAGGGACCAGGTAAGGGAAGGCATGCAGGAAGAGGGCTGGGGATGGGCATGAGGCCCCCTGCGGAGGGACAGGGAACCTGGAAAAGACAAAGGGCCTCACCTTTGCCCAAGTAACGCTGTTTGTCCCCATCCCTTAGCTCCAGGGCCTCGTAGATACCGGTGGAGGCTCCACTGGGCACCGCAGCCCGGAAAAGACCTGGGAGGGGAACGCCACGGAAAGAGAATGGAGAGGATAGCACAGGGACCCGGGATTCCTTCAGCCTTGCAGCTCTGCACTCCTGTGGCACATCCAGCTTGCTCCCCACACTGCTTCACACACACACACACACACACACACACACGCAGCAGCAGATACACAAGCGGTGGCCTCCTCATCCACCCAATTGAGGTCCCACACACACAAGGAGGATAGCAGAGAAATGGAGCTTTGCAGGCAGCACACACGGTGCACACACAAAGAGCACACACACACGGTGCACACACAAAGAGCACACACACACTGTGCACACACACGGTGCGCACACACACACAGTGCGCACACACAGAGCACACACACTAAACTAGCACACAGAGACTGGCCTATCTCGGCTCCCCTGGACAAGGAAGGTCTACTCCCCGAGTGCAGGCTCCTGAGCCTGGCCTAGCAGGGCACCCCCACTGGGAATCCTCCCATCCCAGGCCGGTACACCCAGCCCCGGGGCTGTGGGAAGGCGCCCATTACCTTTGGCAGTGTGGAGATCCACCTCCACCGTGGGATTCCCACGGGAGTCCAGGATCTCCCGGGCCCAAATCTTCTCTATGGACATGATGCCTAGGATCTCCTTGGGTGGCAGGGAAGGAAGGAGAAAGATAAGAGGCTTAGAGGGGTGGAGCCTGAGATCAGTGGGAGGGGCCAGAGGCTGGGAGGCTGGGAGCGACAGGAAAGAGGTTACTGCAGTGGGTGGGGGGTTGGGAGGAGCTGGGTGCAGTCGCCGGCCGTGGAAGGGATCCCCCCGCCCGTAGGGAGAGGAGAAGGTCAATGCAGTGAGGAAGGGGAGGTCACTGCAGTGGGGGGCGGGGTACGATCAAACGACAAGAAGGGAGGACACCGCAGGGAGGAGAGGAGGGGCGCGGCAGTGACTCCCTCGCCCCCTCAGCAGTTCGGCCGCCGGCTGGAGGGGTGCCCCCAGCTCTCCTCGGGGTGGTACGGCCGCCAGGCTTGCACTTCTTTGGCGTCAAGAAGAGCACGGGCCGTCTGGGCAGCGGAGGGTGGCCTCTCCTCCAGAGCCCCCATCCCACCCAAGCTAACATCCCCCCCACCCCACTCCGAGGTCTCAATCTCCCTCCAGATGTGTGTCCCGCCTCTTCCCGAGAGATGGAGACGAGTCCGGAGCGAGGGTCCTCCGTCTCCGCGGTTGCCATGGGCAGGGAGAAGGAGGGGAGACGGTGGGGAGGGGCAAAGCTGGGCCGGTCCTCCCTCGGGCCCTGGACAGACTCTCCGCTCCAAGCACCCTCCCCGTGCGGCGGAGAGCGGTGCTGTAACGGGAGAGGGCGATGCGGGGGAGGAGGGGCCGCGGGGGTCTCGAGGAAGTCTGGGGATGCTGAGAAAGGGTGAGGGAAGACATCTCCCCGATGCACGTCTACGGACGTGCCAGGGTAGAAACGCACAGTCCCGGGAGACCCCGAACGCTTATCTTCGACGGAACCGGAGGGGCAGAGGGACGCAGGGAGGGGGCCCGCAAGGGTAGAGAAAGGCGCAGTCAGACACACGCAGGTGCGGAAAGGCCTGGCGCCCGAATGACGACGGGGCGACGGCCTCAGACCGAGAGGAGAGGCCCGGGGAGGCCGAGAAAGGAGGTGCCGGGGAGGCGCGGGTGGCGGAGCAGGTGCGCAGAGCAGCGGGGCGAGGGATGCGCGAGGCCCGGGGAGAGAGGCGGGGGCGCAGCGGCGAGGGGAGGGGGCCGGAGGGGCTTCACCTCGGGGCTGCGGACCCAGCCGGTGGCGGTGGCGGCGGGGCTGGCAGTGGTGGCGGCGGCGGCGCAGAGAGAGCGGGACTGGCGGCGGCGGCTGCGGCTCCCGGGCGGCGGGCGGCGGGCGGCGGGTGGCGGGCGGCGGGCGGCGGGCGGGCGGGGGGAGGCGCCGATAGGGCCGGGCGGGCGCATGTGACCCGGAGCCCCCGATGAGTCAGGAGCCGCCGGCGGAGGCGCACGCAGGAGCACGCATGGGGGGCCGATGGGATGGGGCGGGGAGGGCTAGAGCAGAGCGACGTGGGAGGGGCTGGGGTCCACCCAGGACCTGGCCCCCCACCGCCCACGCGCGCTCAGACCCACACCCAGACCCCCTGGAAAGTAACAGTCAGCCTCAAGCCAGTGATCAGCCAGGAAAGCCCACGAAGGACTCAAGGGTCTCACAAACCGAACCGGACATCAAAGTATCCCAATGTCTCTCTCTCTCTTTTTTTTCCAATGTCTCTTTATTGGAAAGGCGAACTGTTCCTCACACCCAGGCTACCGCCTCCACAGCTCCTCCACAGATTCCTCACGCAGCACCCGGGGCCCATCCAGGCCTGGCTCCCTCCAGACCTGCCCTGGGGGCTGCTTGCCGCCTAGTCATCACTGCCCAGATGCCTGTGAGTAGCCTGGGCAGCACGCTGTGATGAATTCCCAGGTCTGGGACAAGAGTGGGCATCTTCTGTCTCCGGATGAGGTGGGGGAGTATAAGTGTGGGGCACCCCCTGACTGGGGTCTTCTTAGTTTTGGGGGCCAGCGTCCCCCTGATCGCCTGGAGGAAGAAGGTAGAAGCCGAGCCTCTGGCCACCCGCACCCCCCACCTCTGCCCCACTGAAGTGCCACCTGCCACCCTTCCCTGGGCTCACAGCCTCTGTCTCTTTCCGCCTCATTCTGCCCTCATTCTGCCCTCCTTCTGCCCCTGTCCTGGCATTTTTAGCCTAGGCTCTTTAGTGCAGGATTTTCCTCTCCCGCCTTCTTCCCCAGGCCCAGTCCTCAGGCGCTGCCTCCAACCCACCCCACCAAAGCCCCTGACCCAGCCTTTCCATCAGGTGTGGTTGCCCAACCACACCCTCATCTCTGCCTGCCACACCATTCTCGGGGCTTACTCCTCGGGCTTTCTGATATATCACCTCTGCCTCTCTCAGCTCCTCCCAGGCCCTCCTAGTTCTTTCTCCTCCCCATGAGACTCCTAACCCAGGTGCCCCCAAGTCTTCTCCTTGCCCCTGACTTCCCCACCCACCTCCTCCCTACAGCAGCTCCTCAGCCGGTCTTCCTGCCTCCCCGCCCCCTTCCTTACTGTCTTTGGAGGCTAGGGGAACTGCTAGGTGGACGACTGGTCCAGTTCTGACTCAGGCTCGGCTTCAGGCTCCTGCTCCTGTTCCTCCTTCATCCTCTGCCGGATCTCCTCAGCCTCAGCCCGCTCCTCCTCCTCATAGAAGTCCTTGTCCAGGCGCTCCAGATGAGCAATCTGCACCAGGGCCTCCTGGCGGTAGTCGTTCTCGTCGGTGCACGGGTTGTCCAGCAGCACCAAGGCTCGCAGCCTGGGCAGGTCCCGCAGCTTGGCGAGCTCCCCCAGGTCGGCCACCATGTTGCCCCTGCCGGTGCGGGCAGGAGGGGTTCACCAGGGAACGTGGGCTTCAGAGGCCAGCTGCCAGGCCTGGGGCCTCACGGGGGAATCTCCCACGGGACTCTGGTTCCTCTAGAAACATAGCCTCCATGGACTGGCTGGATTTGTTGCAGACAGAGGTGCTGGGCGACCCTGCTCCAATCTGTTCCGCCCTGGGGAACCCTCAGGGCCATGGTCTATTCTGTAACGTGTCATGTGTCTCCTTCTGGACAGCAAAGCTAGGTCTCAACCCTGTCTTGTAGCTGGGGATGAGGGAGGGATCTCCTTTGCAGGGACAGGCTTCTGTCTAACCAGAGAGGTTAGACAGTGGGACGAGAGCCAGCAGAGACGGAACTGGACTCTAAGCTCATGGAGACGGTGCTATCTGGGCGCTCCCTTAGGAAGAAGCCCAAAGAGTAAGCTCCCCCTAAAGCACCTCATGGTACTGTGCATGCATGTGTGCTCAGTTGCTTCAGCTATTCACTACTCAGTGGTCCGCCATCCCTGTTTCAGCTACAGACATTTTCATGATCACCCTGAGGGGTAGGTCCTAACCTCAGCTTCATTTTATAGGAAACTCAAGTGTGTGTTAGTCACTCAGTTGTGTCCGACTCTTTGCGACCCCATGAACTGTAGCCCACCGGTCTCCTCTATCCATGGGATTTCCCAGGCACGAATACTGGAGTGGATTGCCGTGCCCTTCTCCAGGAGATCTTCCCGACCCAGGTATTGAACCTGTGCAGATTCTTTACCACTGAGCCATGGGGAAGCCCCCATTGTATGGTCCTCTGTGTTTATTTTCATGCTCTTGGCTCCCAGCTTTGTGAAATCAGGCTCAAATGTTTCAGCTCTATCTCAAGGGAGGGGCTGAACCACGCGCGGTGTTTCTCGTGGGGAGTGCAACATGCACTGCATGCTGGACTGTCCTTGTTTTCAGGTCTCTGGCCCCAGAGGCACCTCCCAGTCACTGAGACAAACCCTCCCTCCTACACTTACTTCCAAACACCCCTGGTTAATAGCCACTGAGGAAGGTCCATTATCCCTATCTATACCATTAACTGGAGAAGGAAATGGCAGCCCACTTCAGTATTCTTGCCTGGGAAATCCCATGGACAGAGGAGCCTAGCAAACTATAGTCCATGGGATCTCAGCTGAACCAACTTAGCACGCATACCATTGACAGGAAAACAATACACCCTACACTGTGCCAGACCAAGGTGGCAGAGCTAATTCCAAGAGTCAGGGCAGAACTCTGGGCTTCAAGGTACAACCACCACTCCTTACTCGGAGACTCTCTTCCCACTGCCATCCTCGAAGAGGATTTGGCCTTGGTGACTAAGCAGGCAATTTCCTTACATCTTTGCTTAAAGATACACACATAAAATCCCCCATCAGACAGGAGCTGCTGCAGGAAAGTCTCTCGTGATCTTTAGTGCCTTTCCATCTAGAGATTTTCTTCTAATGACTCCCCTTGCCTCACATCTGAGCACACCTTGTGTTTGAAATCAGTATGGGGCCATCCCTTACGGGGGAGACTCAGGAGAAGAGAGGCTGGAAATTGGAAGGGGAATTGGGGCCCAGGAGATGGAGAAGAGCAGTGGAAATTTATATGGGATGGAGCCAGACTGAGTCCCTTGAGAACAGGAACCATCTCTGATTCCTTCAGATGGTTCCCAGCACAGCACAAGGCCTGGCACATAGCATGTTCTCAGTATGTGAGTGGAATGAATAGGATTCTGGAGTCTCTGTACAAAGGTTCCAGTGCTGCAGGCAATTAGGATTGATGCAGAAGACAGTCAGGAAAGGAGGGGTGAGGACGGAGGATGAGGGGAGAATCTGTGTGTGGGCTGGAACTGGGGGACTGGGACCAGAGAGGAACACAGGGTCCAAGGTGGCTTCGGGTCAGGGGTAAGGGTGAGGTGGGCCTGGAGGGATGCATACCTTAGGTTGAGGTACTGTAATGATTTCATTTCCTTGGAGAAACCACTCAGAGTCTCAATCTGGTTGTCTCGAAGATGCAAGGTAGTGAGATTGCTTAGGTTCTCCAAGCCTTCCACCTTCTTCAACATGTTCTGGGCCTAGACCCAGGATACAGTAGATAGATGGGGAAAGGGGGTCAGGGGGGAGAAGGAAGAGAAATCAGAAAGAGATGTGGCAGGGCTTCCCTGGTAGCTCAGTGGTAAAGAATCTGCCTGCCAGTGCAGGAGACATA